TGAAAAGTTTTAAGAACATAAAAAGATAATGAAATACATTCCATTATTTTAGTTAAATTGAAAAAACTTCCTTGTAAAGCACACTGTGTTTTAACTTTTTGTTATATGAGATTAATAATATCCTTAGTTTGATATCATCGTTCACTTTTCCCCGCAATACAGACTCAAAAATTTACACCAGCTCTTAGAAGCTAACTTCAAAATGACATTTCAATATGAAAAGTGGCTCCTCGATTCCCCATCTGTCCTCATAAATTTGTTCAAGTACATAAAGAAGAAACATGATATTATCAGTACACTCAAGTTCTGAAGCACTATCATCCTGATCTGATTAGGGTGTAGGTTTTCACCTAAAGCTTGGCAGGAAATGTTGGATTTCTTTTGGCTTGGTGAAGCCACTTCATCAGCATTGTCAGTATTAAGTAACAAAGTGGGGGCAGATGGCTCATCAGTTTAAGCTCTAACTTTTGTGAAAGATCTCAAAGGTAAGACATAAAAAGGTAACTGTCAGGAGTCTCCCTGTGTTTTTAAGGTCATTTACTCATAGAGGTACAATTTTATTAAATTTTAGTGAAACAATTAAATCACTTGATAGAAAACATTATCCCTAAATGTGCTTAGCTTTTCTTCATTAATTTTGTATCTCACTGCCTGTCTTAGGTCTGGGACTCGAACCATGGTTGGCCATGTGGGAGTGTCCAGTGCTTTAACCGCCATGTCACCTGCTGGTCCTGACATGGTCTTCGTTGGAGACTATGGTCAGGAGCCTTTATCACTACACAAAAGCTTTGCGTTGGTACACACTAAAGACAATGCTTTACCGCAAATGACTATTGCCAGTTGAGAACTGGTACTCAAAAGGTAGCACTGGTGTCCTAAAGTAATTTTCTTCTTCAAGAGATAGATTTTTTTTTCATTTTAAACTTTTATTTAAAAAAAATTGCTCGAGGGTATATGCACTTTAAGGAGAAGACAGAGAGGGAAAGTGAGAAAGCACCCCTTGTGAGGGATGGTCTCGATGCACTCCCTTCTCCTCCATTTCTCCTGAGATTTTGGTCACACAAGGATAAGTGTTCATCATGATTTTCATGCCACTGGATCTGGGACTAGAGCCATGCAGTGAGCCATGTGGGATCCAGCCACCTTCACCACATGAACTGGCCCCCGTCTTAAACTTTTAAAATTAGTGTGTGCTATTGGCGATTAGCAGTTAATTCCTTTTGCCTGGAATAGTTACAACTGGGATATTTATGTTGATTCTGTAACTGAAACAAGGTTTTATGAATTTATGAAAGGTAAATTAAAAGAGCACCTGTGCAATACTGTTGTGGAAAGCAATGGCTAGGAAATTCTGAAAAATCCTCTTTATAGTATACTGGATTCAAACAAGGCTAATGTTTAAGTGTAACCAAACATATATGCAAACATATATACATAAACAAAACCTGGTTTTGAGTGACTGACTGAATGACTAATTATAATTCCTTACAAATTCTCTTGAGTTTAGATAGAGGTAAGATTTTATTCTCCAATAAGGATTTTATTTTCCAATATGATTATTAAAGAATAAGTCAACGAGCAGACTATTTAAAGATTTCTCTGTTCATTTTGTCAAGTCTTTATAACATTATTTGCATTTAGATACTGTATTAATCATAAAAATTCTAAAGAGTTGTTAGATAATAATACTTCTTAGTATTATAAAAATGAAGTCACAAATATAAGGCATTCAAGAGACCAGCAGGCGGCATGGTGGTTGAGGCGCTGGACACTCCCACATGGCCGATCATGGTTCAATTCCCAGACCCTGTTGTTTGCTTTCTTGCTTTGCCTCTCTCTCTCTCTCTATGTCTCTCTCTGGTCAAATAAAAATAAGTGAATGAGTAAATAAAATTAAATAAATCATTCCTAAAAAATATAAGACATTCAAACTTGGTTTAAAACTTCTGATGTTGTAAGTACCATAATAAGAAAATTGTCCGTTAATGTTAGCCAAGATGATGAACTAGTTTATTTTTTATTATACATATACAACTTAATGTTTAAAATAAGCTAAATAAATAAAAAAATCATTGAGTCTCACATATTTATTTAAGGAACTATCAAAGATTATATTACAAAGATATTAATATATTACATTTCAAAATATAACGTTTTTATGATATCTTTAAACTCATTCCATCAGCAAATATTCATTGAACACTTACAAAAGCTAATGTGCTTGATACAGGTTTTCCCGATTCTAGTATTTATATGTCCAGAAAGTTTAACTTTAGTATATGTCTGTTATTAAAAAAATGTATATGTGTAAATGACAAATAAATAAAACACTATTGAAGTTATTTTATAGAATAAGTGTAGGTTCAATTCATTGCCACCTCTAAAATAATAGATAATGTCTATGACATTAAAATCATTGAAAGCAATATCTAAAACTACATTAATACTTGATAATCTTCAAAATCTGATAAACTAAATTTGGCAGGAGTAATCATTTTTCCTTAGTAAAGACCTATAATGGATAAGGAATAGAATTGTATTCATACACACATAACCATTGTTATTAGTAGTAAAACCTACAAAATGTTTCTAAAAATTAATTAATTAATAATAGAATTTTGTATTTTCTAAATTAATAAATAACAAAATTATCTTCTTCAAGTTTATAGCATGGCTACCTAATGGTATTAGAAGATAATTGTAGGTTGGGACCAGCAGTTAGCGTAATGGCTATGTTGCTGGACTCCCATGTAGTCAACCGCAGTTCATGTCCCGGACCCGGTGGCTTAAAACTCACGCCAGGCGCGTATGTGTGCGTGCCCAAGATCCCGAGAGGAGATTGCGGTGTGGCCATCCCTCCAGGGAGTGATTTCTCGCTTTCTCTCTCTGTCTCTCTCTGTCTGTCTGGAGAGTGTACACGCCCTATAGCAAAAATCTCTTAAAAAAAAAAAGATAATAGTAGGCAACGCTGGTGATTAGAGAAAGAAACCCAAGAGAAATAAGAGGAAGGAAAGGAAGAAAAATCATGGGGGAAGACAGGATAGAGACAGAGAGGAAGAAAATAGAAAGAGGATAGGCAAGAGAAACAAGTAGTATCTTTTAAATCTAATGTCTCGCTTATTAGGGTGTTCACTATCTCCTTAAAAACGATTCTTTCAGCTCACATTTATCTATAATTGTCTATGATTCAGTTCTAAAACAAGAGACTAACTAAAAATTTTCTGGATTAACAGATTTCTACTGTTCTTAATATCAAGGTTCATACTATTTCCTATCTCAAATCTTAGTACAGTATAAAAGGATAAACAGATTTTACTTACAAGATGTGTGTATAAATGTATAGAGACATATGTGTATTAAGGAAAACTCTGGAAAGAAAGGATTAAAGATACTTTTTTTAAAAGAACGATTTTTTTTATTTTACTTGTTTATTTATTTAAATTTGACCAGAGAGAAAGGATTAAAGATACTTTTTTTAAAAGAACAATTTTTTTTATTTTACTTATTTATTTAAATTTGACCAGAGAGAGACAGAATGTGTGTGAGAGACAGAGAGACAGAGAGAGAGCATGAGAATGTGAAAAAGCAAGCCACCAGGTCCAGGACTTGAACCACGGTCAGCCATGTGGAAGTCCAGTGCCTTTAACTACCACACCACCTCCCGGCCCCTAAAGATACTTTTTAAATTGCTATCAAAGCAATGTAAAAGTTAAGTTAAACAAAATCCTTCCTTCTTGTTTCCCCCCCCACACACATAAACTAATAATATATGTATTAGAAAAGGAACATGATCTAACCAGAAACACATTTATTATATTGATGATATAAAAGCTAAAATACATTTTTAAAAAAATAGTAAGTAAAATGGAAGCATAAAAACAGACTGTACAGTTACAGAAATATTCCATTAGGAAATGATTTTAGTGCTTTTCTTTGACTTCTCAAGACAAAGCAGAACACTTGCTTAGGGCACATTCTTTTCTTTCAAATATGAGAATTCTGAATTGTGCAAAACATTTAGCACAGATAATCAAGTCTCTATGTGTAGTTTTCACAAGAGTTTCTCCTAGGTTTTAAATAAATAGCTCTGCTCTCTAATTGAGTAAATTACTTTAAGTCTACGGCATTAGAATATATCAATTAGGTATATTTCATTAGACTATATATAAATGATATTTATATGACTTCTCTCTAGTCCTAAGATCTAAGATCAAATGTTTCACCCACAAATATTTTTGTTAAGTTACCATGATTCTCAATATAGACTGATAAGTTAAAGAGAACAAAAATCAAAGGTTCATTTTCTAAGTAGCCAAGCCTCAAACTTAACACTAAAAAATAAATTATTATATAAAAATTTATTTTTCCAACTTTTATTTAATTTGGCATTTCCATCCACTTCTTTAAAAATTTATGTTATCATAGTATCCCTAACTATTTAATGCTATGAGCAAATAGCAAAGCCACTATTTATCAGTAATTTTTATTTACTAAGCATCATAAAACCTCAGGTGCAAACTGAAAACTACATGCCATTAATCAGTCATGAAATCAATTTATTGAGTTGTTATAGTATTAAAAAAAAAGTAGAAAATATCAGCATGCAATAACCACAGACAGGTTGTATTCTGAAACTTTAGTTGCAGTAGCATTTGTGTTCATAAACATTTGTATTTATTTGGCTATGCCTTAAAAACTATTTTTAATTTAAAAGACCATGATAAAGTAAATAAATGATGATATTATTGATAACAATAGTGAAAAGGCAAAAAACTTACTGTGGGAGTCCTGACTGTATTAATAACATTTTCTGCCTACCTTTATTGGATTTGTCTATCACTGTAGCTAGTATCCTTGTCTTTTTTCTGTTTCCATTTTTGGCTCCTATGATCTAATTACAGTCATAATTATCAAATTTCCAAGCAAGGTAAATACAATTTCGTTAAGGAAACAATGGAGAAAGGTTAAAGCCTAGAAGTTGCCTATGAAGATATTCTTACCTGTAGGTAATCCTTTTCCTCTCAATCGGTCTCGAATAGCCTGGCTTCGATCAGGCTTTTGGTCACTGCTACGGGAAAGCTGATCCGTCTGTACACAGGTAATCAAAAGTCAAGTTTGACAAAAGAATCTCTCTTTTGTTTTCATGATAATTGACTATAGAATGACATTAGTTAGTTTTTGGAAGGTATAGCATTAATTAAATATTGTATTTGTAGCTCAGTACTGACCAATTCATTTTTCAGAAATTAAAAGGCAAGAAACTTTCCAAAGAGTAATCTGCTAAGTAGGAAACACAGCTAGCTAGAGTAAAATAGTTAAAATAAGTTCCATTTTAAATTTTAAGACTGAAGAGTAAAATAGTTAAAATAAGTTCCATTTTAAAAAGTAAGACTGAAATGTTCTATTTTTTTCCAACTGATAACTACTTTGATCTCTCAAGTTAGGTTATAATATTAAAAAACCACATTAATTCTAACATAATAAAGCTTTATCTGCATTGAAGAGTACTGACTTAAATTATTTTCAGAAATAATTTCTTAGATTTTACCTGCCAGAAATTACATCTGAGGAATGCTAAGTCTTTAAATGGACACATCAGGTCATGACAATTAAATTTAAATCAGTGCTCTTTTGAGTTTCCTTTATAACCAAATGTTTAAGTGGTCTATACTTTAATAACTTTGAATTTTAATAACTTTAACTTTAATAACTTTGCTTAAAATAAAGTACATTGAATTAGGTCAAAATCTACATTAAAAGAAATAAAAAGTTTGACAGAATACTGTTTTATTCAGATAACCAACTATGGGAGGAATATAAAGATATAAATGGATGTAGGGAACCAGCAGTTAGCGTAATGGCTATGTCGCTGGACTCCCACGTAGTCGACCGCGGTTCGTGTCCTGGACCCGGTGGCTTAAAACTCATGCCGGGCGCGTGTGCGTGCGTGCCCAAGATCCCGAGAGGAGAATGGAGGAGAAGGGATTGCGGCGTGACCATCCCCTCTGGGGGGTGATTTCTCGCTTTCTGTCTCTATGTCTCTCTGTCTGTCTGGCGAGCGCACGCGCCCTACAGTGAAAATCTCTCAAAAAAAAAAAAAAAGATATAAATGGATGTAGAAAGAGAATAGTGAAGAGAAATTACTTAAATCTGGCACCAAAAAGCATGCACATCTTGGTTTATTTATTCATAGACACACATATGTTTTAATTTTTCTCCATTAGCGAGACTTATTTGATCATGGATTAAGAACCTGTCTAGCATTTGATAGAAAGTGGACAAACATGAAAGATTTACTGCTAAGTGAATCAAGCCAGACTATGAAAGAGAGACATTGTATGTCCCTATTTGGTATATACTGAATATCTGCACTCTAAGGCAGAAACTGAGATTGGATTGTATTAAGGCATGAAGAGCAATTGTGGATACCATAGACAGTGTGGGAGGAGGGTGAGAAATGGTGGAGGATGGGAGGGAGAGAAACAAGGGGAGAAGGAAAGAAATAAAACATTGAAGGGACACAGAATGGAAAATTATCTGTTGATAATAATAATTATAAATATACAAATATATAAATATATGATTATTATATACAATATATGATATATAATATATAAATATATAATTGTTATATGTAATATACACACACATATATATGATAATATCTTTGATTGAACCAATAAACAGTGTATTCAGGATGGGAAAATTCATTTGGTATGCTTTAGAGATAGAGTAATTGGATGTAAAAAAAAAAAAATGCAATTTCAAGGCCAAGAAGAACAGGTCTCAGGAAGGCAGAGAAGTGGCAGTGGAGTTCCCTGCAACCGGTCATGTGGCTGGGGTGAGTTATCTTTCTCTATTTCAGGTAACACTGTCAAACATTTAATGTGTCCTTACAATGTCCCTAACATTTTTTTATTGCTATCTTTATCTAAAATCACAATATGATATGGGCCATTATTTGTGTTTCTATTTAACTTACTGTAGATCTATTCTTCCCTTTGCTTTTTCAGTGCCTCTCATCTTTAAAAATATTTCCCTATTAATGCATATATATTAATTTCTGGCATTTAAGTTTGAGAGTGTCCTCTATTATCTCATATACGCCTCTATTTTTCATTTTTTTCTTATTAGACATGAAATCTTTTCTAGTTAAAAGCTCTTTGTCTGCATTGCAGGCAATGGTATGGAGCTTACTATTCTCGTGTATATTGTCATAAAGAAGATATTCTCATTAAAAAAAAGAACCTGTTTAAGGTAGTATATTCAAGTCTCAGGTATTATGTTTCTTACCTATAAGAAGACCTACGTGAAAATATTTCTGAAATAAAATGATCACCTAAAGTATATAAATGATATTAATTCAGATACATCATACTGTCAGAGACTAAAAACATAGTGAACATCCTGCACCTTTGGGAATTTCTACACTGAGGCTGCTACTAATAATAGTTATTGCTTATTGGATAGTTACTATATGCCAGGCACTGCCCTAGATGATTTATACACTTTATGCTATTTAGTCCTCCAAACAACCTGATATGGTAGATATTATTATTCTCATATTACAGATAAAAGGAAAAACAGTGAAGAAATGTGTAAGAACCATAAAACACCTCATCAATAATAATTATCTTCACAACTATTTAGCAAAAAGATGATTGCATTAAATCAGTGGAAGAATCAAGAACAAGTAACCCGGCCTGCTGATCTGTGCTCCATGCTAACTAATTTTAAGTAAGAATTATGACCAGTCACTGAAAACAAATCCCACAGTAAAAGAAGGCCGTATCATTCTGTGAGCCACTGGAGGTATGAAGAGCAGCAGAGGAGTATAGCAATTGAAAGTATAGGCTTTGAATCAGAGAATAACAGGTACAACCACATTTCTGTCATTTCGCATATGCGTGGTCACAGGCTATTTAATTTTGCTTAGTCTTCATTTCACCAGCTCTAAAATAGGATGAAAGTATCTCTTGCCACCCAGGGTTGTTTTGATGAATAAATGTAGTTAGGTACATAAATCACTTAGCACAATGCCTGTCAAAATGAGAACACTTAAATGATGATAGCTGTTGGAGTTACTTCTGTCCAGTGATGTCTAGACTAGAGTAGGAAGTGCAATTGAAAGGAAGGAGAGATTATTATATCTAGCAAAAATCTGCCTCTGTAAAGGCAGGCTTTCTACATGCTGATCCCAACTGACCTTTCTCTCCCGCTACACAACCCCACCACACACTGCGTACCAGATTGAGGCGTTGCCCCGAAAATATCCTGGTTCTTTTCACATTTCATAACATTTATCCAGCTACTCTTTCTCTGCCAAGATTATTCTTTCTATCTAGTGTACAGAATCTAGTTTAAAGTGTTATTTTTCAGTGCAGTCATAATTTGCACCCTTTTCTCTCAAATTCTCATAGTTTTTAAACTTTTACTATATCACTTTTCACAGACTTTGCATTTTATAATTAAGCAAACTGTGATAACACTTCAAATAAGAGCTTAGAACAAATATTTAATTCAAATTTGTATCTTTGTTTTTAGCACAGGTTTCATACATAGATGAGCAATAAGAGTCTACTGTAATGAACTAAATGCTAAACATTAAAGGGATAGAGGTCTTTTATGCAATACAGGCAATTACTGGATAAATAATACAATTTCTATGGAGTAATACTTCTTCATGCAAAGACAGAATATTTCAGGCAATTTTATAGTAAGAGTAAAATCAGTAAACAGTACAAAAGTCTTAAAAACAGTGTGGCATGGGACCCGCAGATGGTATAATAGTTATGTCACTGGACTCCTATGTAGTTGACTGTGGTTCAAGGGTTGGACCTGGTGGCTTAAAACTCATGCTAGGCATGTATTCATACATACCCAAAATCCTGAGGAGAATAGAGGAGAAGGGATTGTGGTGTGGCCATCCCCCTTGGAGGGGGTGGGGTGATTTCACTCTGTCTCTCTCTGTGGAGTTCACACTCTCTATAGCAAAAATTTCTCTTGGAAAAAAAAAGAAAGAAAGAAACAATGTGGTGTAGTAGAAAGGTCCTTGTACTAAAATGAAACTTAAATTTCATAGTTGTTTGGGTCTCAGTTTCTTTATCTACAAAGTAGAGGAATTTTGTAGAATATTGCAGTATTATGAGAATTTCTCCAAGACCAAATAAGTTTGGGAAATATTTCCTCTACAAGCCCACACCTCTTGAAGATCAGTAATACAGTCTGGTGTGTTAAAAGTTCTGGGAAGTCTTGCAGTGAAAAAATCCATTTAATTTTCTCTAAGTTTTTTATTCCTCAAGTTTATTTGATTATAGAGAAATTTTGTTGTTGTTAGATTTTTTGCTATAGGATATGTGGATTTGCCAGAGACACAGAAAAAGACAGAAAGGAAAAGTGGGAAATTACTCCTCCTCCCAGGTGGGGGAGATGGCCATGATGCAATCTCTTCTCCTCCATTTTCCTTTCAGGATTTTAGACAAATATGCACATGCACCCAGCATGAGTTTCAAGCCACCACATCCGGGATTTGAACCTCAGTTGACTATATGGGAGTCCAGTGCCTTAACCATTTTGCAATCTGCTGGCCCCCATAGAGAATTTTTTTTACATAAAAGGACATTGGGAATAATGTAGAAAACTTTCATAGATATTTAATAGCTTTACCTTTGTTTAAAATAATGACTGACTTTGCATAATACTTGTGGAAGAATTCAAATCAATATTTATACTTTATATGTTGGAAAAGGGAACATGATTTAACAAAACTTTCCACATTTTGTATTTGAAAAAAAAACCCCAACATATATAAATATAAACAAATCAAATAAAACTGAGGTTGCTCAAGTTCAAGTAGGGAAATGGGCAAACAAGAACTCCACTTACTCAGCCTCCATGCCTACATTCCCCTTCACTACAGAGGTGTACAATGGTGACCTGGGGAGCAGTTTGCTACTCAGTTGTCTAGAAAATTTCTGAGCCTATTTGTTATAGACTGGCCAAGAGTGTGGAATTTGGATATATTCCTGGCAGCTGCACGACTTCCAGATTAAGATAAGGGAACTAACACCCTAGGTATGACCAGTTAAGAGGAAGACAGCTAGGACATTGTGTGACAGTGGCAAATCTGTAATCTGCACAAACGAGAGGAACCATCATTCATGAGCCAGACTCTAAAGGGTAAGAGCAGATAAAATGTAGATCCAGATCAGATATCAAAAACCAAGTACTCAAACTTGGGTAAACCTGAAAGACATAGCTTAAGAAATGTAGAACAAAGGTGGGACTATCAGATACAGTGTTTGTTTTCTTAAGATCCTTTATACCCTAGACAAGTGAGAAAAATGGAAGAGTCTAGGTCTTGGGGCACTCTGGCAAGAATTCAGGCATAGATGTCCCTTATGTCCCCAGGTGCCAGTGTCTAGAGAAGGTGAGAAAGTTTGAGGAATACCTAGCGATCTAGAAAAATAAGTGGCCAAGAAAGAGACAGAAAACAAAATAAAGTGCATTTAAACATTTCTAAAACACATTTTGCAAGTTAATGCATTTTTCTGTAGGTAGGTATCACAACAGATAGAACCACTAGCTAAAAGCTCTTTAGGAAAAAAATCTGAGAGGAGGCAAGAGCAGATTATTTCAAGAAATTACATGCTATTATATGAAGCAATGGTATTTTATGGAATGAAATTCTAAAAAAAGACTAACATAAAATTTAGGATATGCATTGCAATGGGCTTTTAAATATGGTTTCAAATAAATAATTTACATTAGAACAAGAAATTCAATTTCCCATTTCTAGGCTACATTGAAAAAATGAAATTTATTCAGTATCTTCAAAGAACATGCTGTGATACGCTACTAGTTTTAAATATGACTATATTTGCCAAATAAAACAATAGCTTACCCCAGAAAGATTTCCTAGAACCAGTTTTACCAACTGTTTCACGTAGGAAAATGAAGGTGCACAGTTGCTGTTCCTAATGTGTGCGCTGCAAGCGTCCAAAACAGTCCGAACAGAAACCCGAGCGTAAATAACATCCTCGCACATTCCAAGCAGTATGCTGTTGAGATGATCTCCAAGCTTGATAGGCTGCATGTAGAGAAAGGAAAAGCCATGTTAATATCGTGAGTAACCCTTGCTTCCAATACGAGACAAATAACTCCAAAACACACTTAACATAATTGGAGAAAATTAATTTCTTATCAATTAGCATATATGTATCTCCTTACTGAGTTTTACTTTTTTGTGGTCCAAAAAAGTTACTGGGTTGTTGAAAAAGCCATGAAAAACAGAAAACATTACATCACAACACCCCAATATTAGCAGAAGATACGTTTCTCTACATAGAAAGTATTATAGAAAAACTTTTCTTCTTCTTTTTTTTTTTTTTTTGGTATGAAAAGAAGTGAAATTCTTTGGTTATTCAAATATTTTGATAAACAGTTACTATATATACACCACTTCGGGGGAATAATAAACTATTTCGTTATATTCAATAAAATGCAATGCATTCCATATGTATAAATATAATTTGATTCTCCCATAATAAACCTAAAAGATATTCAAATATACTAATGACTGAAGACTACTTAAATATAAGTTCTCATTATGCTGGTGAAATAGAAGCCAGAATGTGATTACTTTTTATTAGTTAGCATAATTTGTAGAATAGTACATCCAAATGGCTAATAAGAAATAGTGGCTAACATAATTATTCCTAAGGAATGCAAATAAAATCACAAGAAACCACTGTGTACTCAATAAAATGGTTAAAAATAAAAAGACAAATAATATTAAGTATTGGTAAGGGGTGGAACAATTAGAACTCATCCATGATTGATGGGAGTGTAAATTTGTTGTCTACTTTGGTCTAAACGAATGCCTTCCCTTTGCCTCTTCCACTTCCCATTCATTTGGGTATTTATCTTCCTTATGTCTCAGTTTAGATACAGTGTCCTTTAAGAAGCCTGTCCTGACACTCCAAGCCTAGTCAAAGCCCTAACTTTTCACAGTATATTTCTTTTTCCTCATCTAGCACTCGCTGAAGAAAATCATTAAAGAAAAAAGAAATCATGGAGGCCAGCAGGTAGTGTGGTAATTAAGGTGTTGGACTCATACATGGTCAACCGCAGTTTGAATCCCAGACCTGACAGCTTAAAAATCACACTGGGCACGTGTGTGTGTGCATTCCCAAAGTCCAAGGAGGAGAGAGAAGGGACTGCTGTGTGGCTATCCCTCTTGGGGGTGATTTCTCACTTTAGTGATTTCTTACTTTCGCTATCTTACTTTCTCTCTCTGACTCTGGCAAGTGCACGTAGTCTGACACACACACACACACACACACACACACACACACACACACAAAGTTAAAAAAAGGCTGAATTTTAGAGTGGAAGTCTAAAATTCTTATTACTCTTTCTATTTAATGAGAAAATGTATCAAGTTATTTTTTGACTTTTTAATGCCTATAATAAAACCTAATTCTATATGTTCTACCTTTGATTTGATGAAATATATCCATTTTAAAATTTCAATTACTATTTACTGCTATTTTTCAATGACTGTTTACCACTATGTTCAATTACTATTTACTACTGGGTCTTCAAGATTTGAAGTTATTTAAAAAAATAGAAGCAGCCCAATACTCATCAGAGTCTAAGAATTCAGAAGGTGTTAATATCTGTGTTGGCTGTAGCAGGGGTAGTAAAGTATGATTATAAAATATCAAAAGAAAAAATAATAAAGTTGTCTGACAGTATAGAGAGACATAGTAAAGAGCTACTATTCCTACAATGTTTGCTTCAAAAAAGGTATCATTTTCAGTATTATAATGAATCACCAAAGACATTGCAATTCCCTCTTATCAGTCATTAAATCAGAAGAAATAAACTATACCTCCACTTCTCTCGCTATAATTTTTGAAGAGGTCAGTTTCATTTCACAGACTAAACTGTTAAACCTGGGTAGTGATTGCTACATCTAAAGATAACTCAATTCTAAAAATTCTAAAAATATCTCAGAAAATAATTCTTAGTACTTTATAGACAGTTCATTCTCAAACTATGACATTATTAATGTGAGCAACCAGCACAGAAATGACAATGTGTCTGACAGCCTATAGTAGAATGCGTACAAATATGAAGAACTGTTTAAAAAGTGCAAAATGGTACAAATACAAAAATTTGACTTACTTGGCTCTGAGGTACTTCATGATCAGCTCCCCAGTACAATGTCATTCCAAGAGAATAAATATGGATCTAGGAATAGAAGTTTTAAAAAATTATTTTATGATAAAATAAAAAATTTAGCAAGTACCATATGTGCAGAATTTTTCATTCCAAAAACAGTATAATGAAATTTAAGAATAATCATCATTTTATATTTTACATGAAAGTATATAAGAGCTTAGAGCCAGCAGGTAGCGTAGAGGCTGAGGTACTGGACTCCAACATGAATGAATACGATTTGAGCCACAGACCCAGCATCTTGAAAATCATGCTAGGTACATGTGCATGCATGTTCAAAATTCAGGAAAATGGAAAAGAGCAGAATGGCCCTCCCCCTTGGGGGTGATTACTCACTTTTACTCTCTCTGTCTCTCTCTAGCAAGCACATATGCCCTAGAGCAAAAATCTAAAAACATAAAAGCCAACCTATATAAGAGCTTAAAACAGAAAGTAATACTGGAAATCATTAGAACAGATTTTCCCCAGCCTATCCTCTATGAGTAATCTTTTTTGTTAGATTTTACTTAAAGTTTCTTTATGCAAATTCAAGCAAATATGAACTATATTCCTATTTACTTCTTCCTTTTACAAAAGGTCAAAGACTTTAAGATTACTAAGTATGTCACATTTTTAACTTATCAATAGAGATATTACCATATCAATACTTAAAATCTTGTCATTTTTTACTGGTACATAGAATTCAATGATGTGGCTATAAGACTGTTAAACAAATCTGTTATTAATGGTCAATTTAATATTTTCCAAACTTCTGCTGTTATAAAAAGGTCTCAGCACATAGCCTTGTGATGCCATTTTTGTATACAGAGGCATTTCCCTTGAATTGATTGTAAGAAATGATAGATGAAAAGTAATTCATCTGTAGTTTCCACAAATAGTTGAATTTCC